AATAATAATAATAATAATAATAATAATAATAATAATAATAATAATAATAATAATAATAATAATAATAATAATACAAATCGAAATACCTTCTATAAATAAAATATTAATATGCTAGAAAAAACTTGTGAACCTTGCACCAGATTTTCTAAAATTAGTTTTTATAGTCTAATCTCAAACACTGCAAGCCGGTATCATTGCGCGTCCTCGGAAATTAAAATCTGATTGGATTAAGATTTGATTTGATCAAGATTAATAAATAAATTTGTCCTCAAAAAATTCTATTTTAATTTACACAACCTTGAATGAAAAATGAAGGATATTTGAATATATGAATTTATTTCAGTGTGTAAAATTGAACGAGCGCGTGCAACATTATTAACCAATCAAATTTTGAATTTCTGGAGATAGTTTCTAAATTTATATTAGTTACACGACGAAATTTATTAAAATAAATCTTATCCCTCTAATACTAAGATTTATAAATCAAACTTTAAATTTTATAAAAAAAAAAAACAAAAAATTTTTTTTAAATAGGGTTATTAATTGTAATCCTATCTCCTATTTGAATATGAATATTCAAATAAATAAAAGAAAAATTTTTGATCAATTCCTCATTATTATGATATTGATGAAATTCTTTGTTAAAAAAATTTTTAAATTTTTAAATGGTATAATGTTATTATAAAGTAATCATATTAAATCTTATCAAAAGAAGAATATCCTTTAATATATTTTTCAATGAAACAAAATCATCCCAATTCCATTCTGAAATATCTTTTTCCAAGTCTTCATTTGGTCCCATTCCCCAACGAATAACATAATCCCAAATTTTAATCTCATATAAAGGTAAATTATCTTTATTTAATATATGAGGGCATGCTGGAACAAAACCAGGCGAAGTGAACATTATGTCACAAAGAAAATAAAAAAATTAACCAACATGTTTTATTGTTTTTTGAAAAATGAATTTTTAAATTCCAACGTGTGAATCACATGATATTTCGATACAAAATAAAAAATCAACTTTATCGAGTATTATTATAATTGTTATTTTGTTTAAGTTAAACTTTACACTTTTTGTTCTGTTTTGTGTTTTAATAAATGAAATTTAACTACTCGATGTTATTTTTACAAAAAAAAAAAAAATTGATCAAAAAATGAAAAACAAGAGGAAAAAAAAGCGGAATGAGGGCAAAAAAAGCAAACGCGTAACAATAGAAATAAGAAATTTATCCAACGAAAGTTCATCTGTTATTACAACTTCTATCAGTGACCAATAAGTTTATTATATATTTGGTGACTAAATTAAAATTTGTATTTACTTTTTCTTCAATATGTGATAGAAAATATATTTTTGGAAAGCTTTGACTCTTGTGTTTGTTGTATTTCTTAGAAATTTACCAACATCAACAACCATTAAAACTATTGCTAGCGCCAAAACTAACGTCAACACGATTTTGCTGATGTGCCAAAGGAGCATACTTTATGTTTATGTTTAAAAAATAATCGAAACTTTTACTAATGCAAAATGGTAAAAATTTAGAAATATTTTATATTTACATATTTTTAAACAATGTTTCAAATAATTTATTAATTATTGTATATTACATTTCTAAATAAGTGTTTTATTTGCCGTAAACTACATGATTATAATGACCAAATTTTCCCTGATATATAATGTGTATCAACACATAAAATCAATTATTTTATTCTATTTATAAAAATTAAAAATTTAAAAGATTGTTTAGTATAAATTAATTTTGTAAAATCATCAATAATAATTATAAATATTGTCGCCATTATTCATATTATCGTCTTTATTTTATAATTCATATTATTGCTATATATTAAAAGATGACGATGACGGTGATGAAATTGTTGGTGATAAAAGTGTCGTTATTGATGATAGTGATAATTTTGAAGGTGAATTATGATTGTGATGACTATTACTGTTGCTGAAAGTATTATTTAATTTTGGTGAAGATAAAGGAGAAGAAGGTGGTGATGATGATGGTGATGACGATGATAATGGCAAAGTTTGACTTTCATTGATTGTCGGTAAACTTTGTTTTGGTTTTTCAGGTTGACTATACATATAAGTTGCAATCAATACAAGAGTTGCACCAATCAAAAATTTAAAAGTAACAACAAAATCGAACAAGACAACGGATGCCAAGAATGATAAGATGATGGAAATAGAAGTTGCGAATCCTTTGAGAATATTATCAGCATATTTTACAACCATGGCTACTATAAGACCGCCCACGGCCTGACAAGTTATGGCACCAACAACAGTCATATTGTAACCATAGAAGAAACCTTTTTCCCAAACACCTTCGCCGTCTTTCCACCAAACTCCTATAATCAATGCTGGAAATAGAGAAAAGAATGATAATTGTATATTACGTGTCCATATGGATGTTTTTGATGCCTTCAACACCTTCTCAAAATAAACCCCAGCTATACCCGAAATGATACATGCTATAGCAACTGCAATCAAACCAAGTATTCTCTCAAGCATGATTTGTTCTTGCTCCAATAATAATTCTTCATCTACTATTGATGCTTCATCATCCTTGCCAGCAGCACTTCCAACAATGCTGTTAGTTCTTAATTGTACCAATACCACACCAAATGTCAATAATCCTAGAGAAAACCATTTAACACCGCTCAAAGAAGTTTTCAACATTATCACTGAACATAAAGCTGTTGTTAATATTTTTAATTGATAGGTTACTTGAAAAGTTGCAGCGTCCAGTAAACTTACAGCTATATATTGTAAATTATTTTGAATCGTGTACAAAATGGCTGGTATTGCTAATTTCCATGCATCTTCCGCAAACACTTCATTGAAAAGCTCTCGTAGGTCGAAATGACCTTTTGTCTTTATTTGGTTTCGTATAGCCATATAAATAGATATGATTAATTTGGATAATTCTGATAGGAAAACTGCTGTGGACGTGAAATATAATGCATCTCTATCTTGATTAAGTCTAGAATATCTCATCACTATCACCAGCGTGCTATTCTGAAGACATAGCGTTAATAAGCTTACATATTTTAACGATAAATTAATCATTTTCATTTGTGAGTTGTGTTGATGATATATGTGTGCGTATGAATGTGTATTAATGGTTAATTACGACAATAAATATAATGTTGATGTTTAATAATTTTATTTATATATGATGAAGTTTTAAATTCAAGGTTTTTTTTTTTTTTAGAAATAAATCAAAAAGAATGATCAAATATATAGATTCAACTATATATTTGTTTTTTAAAAATTATATATTTAAATTAAAAATTTTTTGTTCCATTTATACTTTTTTTTTTTTTAATTCATTTGTGACACTATTTATTAATCTATTAAAAATAGAAATTATTGTATTTAATACTACATATATCCTCTAGTTGTGAAACTAACAATAAAAATACAAAATTTATTCTGTGGCGTGGTGCCAAGAAATTTGTTGTTTAATTCGTTTATGGAGCAATCGTTTGAAGTACATACCACATAGATTTTACACAACGTTTTTTCTTTTTCTGTACTAATACAATAAATAATAGCGTCCTGATAAGTTTAAAAGTATTCTCTAGTGTTTAAAGAAGCAATAAATATTAGACAATGAATTCGTTGCCTTTGATGGTCAAACTCTTCACTTATACTTGCAAAAAAAAGGTTACGGAGAAATTGACATATATATAATAATAATCCAAGTTGGTACAATTGGATATTTCACTATACCTTTTTTGGCAAATATGACCGGGAACATATATTATTATGATGATCCAAATATCACAACGGCCACAGATTTGTAAAATTTCCTAAAAGGAAAAAATGCACCAATCAACTTTTGAGATTCACGTAGTACTATGTAATGCCAAACGTTAAAATTCCTTATTAATTGTGGCTAGAATTAATTATGTACAAGTTATTTAAATGAGTCCATATGAACACAACATCAGACACCTTCAAATTTTGATATACTTTCCTCAGACCTTTCTTTACACAAGAACGGGGTTTTTAGGATAATGTGTAAGTTATTATTGATCTTATTTACAGTGTTATTGGACCCCGAATGATCATATTATATGTTACATCCGCTTGAATGGATAAAATTTATATTAATATGAAAATTTTGGGTAAAGAAGCATCGGCCAATGTGGGTAAAAAAAACCCCCCATTTTAATTTTATTCACCATCAAAAAAAAGTGCCCATATATTCACAAGGTTATTTAAATGAGAACATCTTTTATTTTAGTGATTATATAAATTTCTCGATTAAAATAACTGAACCATTAATATCAATATAGATGATATTGATGATAAGATTTAAATTATTGTATTTGAGGAAGTGATCAAAATTAGAATCATCTAATGAATTGCTATTTTTATTATTGAAACAATTATCAAAACTCTCGAATATACTTACTTGTAACTAATCACAGGTGTGATCCCCCCTGATTCATATAATTTTTGCATTTTTTTTATAAATAAAAAAATCAGAAATAAAAGGTAATTATCATCGTAAATTTTATTGTAATACTTATCGAGGGCGAAGAGGTGAGAGAAGAGATAAAAATACATTTACAAAATAAATTATAAACACCAAACAATAAATGAAATATTATATTTTTATTATTTTTAGAGCTTGTTACTGGAATTGGAACGTTCCAAATGTGGTTCCAAATGAAATTATTGGTTAATATCAATCGATGATCTACATTTGGAAACATTCCAATGTTTCCAACTGCACATTGTGTACACTCTACCCAATTGTCGAAGAGATAAACTTATAAATATTAATTATATTATATTCTTATACAGCGTTACAAAGAAAATAGCGCGTGATTTGTAAATTTTATTTTATAAAAAATAAAATTACTATTTATTCTTTTTTTGCCATTTAAACCTTGAGGGTTTGTGTATAGGGTTCCTGTGGAAATGCATTCGGTTTTTTCCATACTCTATGTAAATGTTTTTGATAATATATAATTTTGGACAAATTAAATGCCCTATGATCATTTTTATAGTATTGTGCGTATTTGCAAAACACCCTATAAGAAATTAGAGGTTGGAATCGACTAAAATAGTCAATTAAACTTTTTTTTGAACAACTAATAGCCGACTACTACTAATACTAATACTAATACTAATACTAATACTAATACTAATACTAATACTAATACTAATACTAATACTAATA